CAACGCAACGTTTTTCCTTCTAATAAATCGAATAACACGAGTGGCAAATCGAATAACCCGTACGTGCATTATATCGATGTAGAATCATCAGCTCGTAAATAGACGATGATAAAGCCGGCCACCCTTCACAGATGTACGAGGTATTAATAAAGCAAAGGTAAAAGGGGTGGTTACCTGGTTACAGGTTCTTACTGTCTTACTGTCCACGTGAACCGGTCGATGTCGAAATCCGATTACGCAATAAAGATTCGCAAGGGAGTAAATAGAAGACGGCGAGGCTGAGGCGGGTTTTGCGGTCCGTTTATCCCGCCACGAATCGTAATTTGTAATATACCGACGTCCCCGGGATGAAAAATAACGCGCTCGAACGGCGAATAACGCGTCGACGTGGCCGACCTGTCGAACGGTACGCCTCGATGAGCCAGGAAGACGTATACCGGGTGAGACAGCCGATGTTCGTTCATGGAACCAGTCGACTGATTGATGAGACCTCTTAAGTAACCCTGGATTTGCGTAATTTTCAATTTGCGAAACCGAGAGGGCGATGTTTGGTGTTTGCAGCGAGGTGTTGCAACCACGTTGTTTATAAGCGAGTTCCACGTGATTTGGATAATTTTCCAGTGACATTTTTATAGAAAATTAGTAGGTTTATGAGTACATAGAGACAATGCAATTTGAGTTTCAATAAAAAGACAGCTATCCATTAGTCAACCTATAGATCGACATCTCTGAGTTTGAGAAATTTGAAATCGAGATGGAGAAGACATCTAAGTTCGAATCTATTTACAATCTTTTTCCTCCGTACGGTGTCATCGATTAAATCAGCAACTAATTAAAATTCCATCCGAATAATCGATATAAATGGAGTGATAAGTAGCTGCTTTAATACGATAGAGTATAAATCTAGATCATTCTTATCTCGTGCGCAATTTTCGTTACAAATTCTACTATTTAAAAAAGATTCATTCTTAGAATCTTGTCCGCTTCCAAACCGCATAATCGTTTCATCTTCTATCCTCTTGCCTCACTATCCGGGCTGGAGATATTTTCGTCAACAATTATAGAAAATTTCAGAATGCGAAAATACACAGAACTCGCGTAAACAGTGAAAAATGTGGAAAATATTCAACATGAACGACACATCGTAATAATTAATCGACAGAGTCAATCTCTAGCTGGCTTGCATCGTTTAAGTTACGTTGACAAAAAATACAAATTTACATAAACATCCGCAGACTACCCGCTATTAATCAATTCTCCGTTGACCGGCAATTAATTTTCCGTTTCTAGTACCGCGTGACAGAATTCTATAACTGTGTCCAATTTACTGGATCATGCAGCTGACAGCGGCCACCCGGTAGATCGCGTGGATCGCAACGTAAAGCAGCGTGAAAAGAAACGAGTGCCGGCTGACACGTAGCCCTTTGAACCAGGACAGGTACATAAAGATATACAAGTGCAGGCGTCGCAATTCGGCCGGTTCCACGACGTGTAATCACGTATGCAAATGGCGACGGTACGCGCGCGCGCCAACGCCAGTGGAACGGGTCGCAAGTAATGCGTAACTGTCGATATCGCGGCCGTTTCGCACGCTGACAGGACAATGTGCACGCGCGACCGCCCGCGAGCTGGTAATTTGTACCAGGGGAACGTCCGGTTGCGCTCGCGCGAACCCGCCGCGGCTGTTTCGTCCCACCAGACGCGTTCTAACCACTCGTCTCTGTCATTCTAACGAAGCTTAGCGATTTAGAACGGTTCGACGATCGTTAACCTCTCGGTCTATGATTTTTAAGACACGATATCTAATTAACAAGTCGATTGGAATATTATACGCAGACTGCAGATTTTTGCGCAGCTTCATATTCTAACGAAAATAATTTGAAGAATCGTAACGCACGTAGAAAATTGCGAACACCATATTTTGACATAATTCGTTCGAATTTCTACTCCAACGTCAAAGGTGTCGTACGCGAAGCTGATAAAGTTACTCGGAAAATCGGGGGACTCTCACGTGCGCACGAAGAATCTATTTCCACCCCATAGGATCCATGGATGTTATGACAATGATCGCGATGAAACGACGAACGAGAAGCGATTCGACGCAATCACACGTGGACCTGACACGCGATCGTCGTCACTGGTTGCATCCGTGGAAAAACGCCACGTGAAGGGGAGGAAATGTCACCGAGCGGAACCCAAACTACAGCCGGAAGTCGGTGGTCACGTGGCCAGGGCGACGCGCGACATTGTGTACGGTATAATAAAGCGTAGCCTATGTCTGTCTTCGTGGAAACGTAATAGTTCTCTGTCTCTCTAGCACGCTGATTTATGGTAGGATACGTAGCGATCGCATTGGGACAGCCCCCTTTCTGTCCACGTTGGGGTTGCGTTAAGAGGTCGAGGGCATCGGGATCCGGCCAGAGCAATTGGGTTTACTGGTCCCGGGGATTGGTCGGGATTTGCTTTGGCTAGACTGATAGTATCCGTGGCGATTAGTAGATTACGTTCGTTTATGCAAGATTATGTAAGACCTTGGCTCTTGAGAGTTGACTCCTAAACGATAATCTAGTTGGACGTCAAATAGGCTATTTTTATGCAATTTCTGTATCTTCGTTGTTACGATTAAGGCACATGGAACCTACGTATTGATTTATTTTACCAGTTAAAGATCGTAACAACTACTTGGAATATTCTTTCGGGTTAGGTTATCCCAAAAGCGTCTTTTGCTATCTGCACGCAGCCGCTTTATCCGGCAAGGTTTATATTTACAAACGTGAAACCTAATCTGTCAAGTGTCGTGGTTTCTATAGCAATGATTCGGTAAAATAATATAAAACAAAAAATGTGGTGCATTATTTCTTTAGAAAACGGGTCAATCCTTAGAGACAATCTAATACTTTGGTATATTGTACGCATTTTATACATCTTTGTTCTAACCAGAGTTTCAATAAACGTATGAACATCAGCGGTCCACTCACAGAGGACTATGATAATTTACGTTAAATTATTAAGATCGCGGACATTTAATTTTGTTTCGTATTTTAAACGCGGTTAGATAAAACGCAATCGCTTACATTCTTAACTCTAATAATCGAAATCCTAACAAGAGAAGATACTTTCGTAATACGTTTCGTCCCAACGTGATTTTTCGTAATCTCGCGGAATAGTTGCAATATCAGCCTACATCCGTAGGTAGAAATTATTTGCAAATAAAATAGTAAAATCTATTATCGACGATAACCGAAAAGGAAAACGAGAATGTTCTTCATTTAACGAACGAGAAAATCTTCTACACCGAGACGACCACTAACCCAGCAAATCCACGCAAAACGTCCCTTCACTGACCCGACAAAAATCCATATCTCCCCGGCTGGACAAGCCAAAGAAGGGTTGTTAACGGAACATTAACTCCATCTCCTCGAAGCGTTTCACATAGAAAAGAAGCAATCTCTTAATTCTCCGACTCGGTGGGATCACAAATTTCCTAACTCATTCTCATTTCGAGCACGTACCCTCGGAAAAAAGGAAGAGAAGGGAAAAAAAGGAGGGGAAAAAAACGGTCTGGATAGGTCGGCAGGGGCGGGGAAATCAGCGTAATAGAGAGATCGGAAGGGGAGAATGGTGAGTCGAAGCGATCGGTCACGGTGTTCTTATGTTAATACCGCGACGGTTCTGCTCTGCTCGTCTATTCGAGCGCGCCGCACCAGCGTGGCGAATCCTCGAGTTTATCGCGGGGGTGTGTAGCCACTGTAACCACTAAAACCATCGTCGAAGCGCGGGGAAGGTGGCGACCAGGGGGTCGCGACGACGACGACGCCGCAGAAATTCAACGTTACGCCTAGGTGGAAACGGGAAAATCGATAGAATGGGAACGACCGTGGCTTGTCTAAACAGATCGTAGTTGAATAAATATATCTGGCGGCAAGATTACCAGATATACTTTCGATTTTATATCTTCTATTAACTTCTAATCGAATTAAAGACAAGGCCACTTTGAAGTAAGATAAGTGGAGCGACAGATGACCGACGAACAATCTCATAATCAATGAAATGAGAATTAAAGAGTCTTCCGGAAATTTCCTTCCAATTATCCTAATTACCTAAGATCTATAATTTCATGGAAATTGTTAGAAATCAGACCAAAGATTATTACGACCTCAGAGCAGCGAATGAAAAATAAAAGATCTTGTAACGAGCAAAAATTTCCTATCGAACACTCGAATTATCTAAAATCCACAATTTCGTAAAAACTTGCAAGGAGATCGTATCGAAAGTCAATACGATGTCAAACTATTCGATGAAAGATAAAGAGTCCTCTGAGAACCAAAAACTTCCTACCAGCTACTTTAATTCTGCCTAGAATCCCCAATTTCGCAACAACATCGTAATCTCAAAGTGTCTCGTCCAAAATGAAAAATCCTCCAAAAACAAATAATGTTTCACCTACTCGTCAAAAAGTTCTCATCAGAATACTCAACTTCGTAAAATGTGGCCAAAAAGAAGATCACGCGAAACAAGATAGCCGCGTACATCAAACTACTCAATGAAGAGCGAACGATCTTTGTTGAAACGCGCGGTACCAAATTCATCGCGCGATTGATCAGAAGGAGCAGCCATTAACCTCACGTCGAAGAGTCAGTCGTGTTGATCGTGGAGCTCGCTGGCGAATTATTAATCGCGCGTTCAAGTCCGAATCAATCAGGCGAGTGACGCGACCGGCTGATAAGAGGTTCCAGGCGAGTAGATGGAGAGACCACCCTGGACGAAGTCGATCCGCAACAACCGAGAGACCAGGGGCCGATAGTTTCCGCGATTGTGAGAAACCATCGGTCCAGGGAAGCTGTGTGCCAGTGATGTAGAGGGCTCTCCTTGACCCGTAGGTAGAGGGAGGGCCTGGTGTTGTACCCCGCGGAGGTTGACTCCGGCACGGTGGTCCAGGTCAACAAATCATAATCGTGGCCGCGACCGGGTAACGAGAGGAGAGGCTGAATGCATCTTACCCGTGAGAGGTTCTTCTGTATACAGGGTGGCTTTCGTTTCACCGAAGACTCGGTCATGTTCGTATCGTCGAGTGATGGAAATATGGTTGTTGGATGGACGGTATGGCAGTATAACGGTTTTCAGTGTGTTTCGGGGAATTGGACGTGTTGAGAATGATAGTTTTCGTTTCCAACGAAAATTGTTCTGAATCATCCTGTAGAGGCAATCTATCGTTATACGGATCTTTACGAGTAAAGTTGATGTAAATTCGATATGGATGATTTGCAGTGTTTTGACATTGGATGATACGCGAATTGGGGATGTTGTAAATGGTGGTTTCTATTTAATTTTGGTAAAAGTTGTTCTGAGTCATCCTGTAGACTCAATCGTTATACGGATAATTTATGGGTAAAGTTGATACTGGCTGGTTAATGCAAGTACCAAGATTTCGAGAGTTTTGTAATTACATGATTTGCGAATTGCGGATTCATGAATGGTTGGGTTTGTTTTCGTTATACACAGGATGGCTTTCGCTTCATGGAATTGATTCTGCATTGCTTGTTGATGTTGAATGGACGATGTACTACGAAAATTTTTTAAGCGTTTTGCATCTAGGTTATTTATTCGTTGTAATTTTATGAATAGTCTTTTCCTTGTTCTTGCAAAAATTTGTTTCCAATCTATGACTGTTCCACTGGTATTTCCATCGGTATTAGTCATCGCTGTATTCCAAATCTTCATCATAAATTCACCAGTAGCCAGAGAACGTTTGACCGAGAGGAATTTAATTTCCACTGCTTGGTCCAGGATAACCTGGCCGCTAAGCCACGGACACGGGCGACTAGGATCATAGTATTTAATTCGTGGTTCATAAATCGGGGGCATTCGTGCGGGCCCCACGTCCGCGAGTCGACCCATTGGGCTCCGGGACCACCTTGTCGCGGCGCGGCCGAGCGTGGG